GTTAAACAAAACATTTCTCTGAATAAATCCAATCATTAAACAAATCTTTTTGACTTTTTTTTCTTGTTCTTTTTTAGACCGAATCCAGTATGTTCTCCACCTACATCACAACATAATGAACCAATAAATAAAAATACAGCAGCTCGAAATAAAACATATGAATATTATCTTACACATCCTGCACAACAACAACCAATTTATATTGGACAAAGGTATTCTATAAACAAATTAATAGCTACAATAAAAAAAAAGAACAATTCATTTATATTTTCCTTTAGTCCATCTTTGGATATAGCTTCAAGATATATTGATAATAGTTATAATGGAACAACAAATTTAAATGATCTTCGTCCAACAAGTGCAACATCATCAATTCGTTCTCAAGATAGTGGTGTTGCACAATCTGATCCAAAAACTTCTATTGATTGTAGTGCAAAAACTGAATCAAGTTCAAAAATATCAATTCATAATAGTAATAATCAATATATATCAACTAATAATCCATTAACAATTGAACATCACAAATTATCATCATCTAAATTAAATCAACATGGATTAATAGCACAATTTGAACAAGATTTTAATTTAAATACAGAATCAATACGTGAAAAACTTCAACCATTAAATACACAACGATTAAAAATGCATCGTCAAGCAACAAAAGCACTTATAGTAAGTTTAGTTATTCGTTTTATTATTTGTTTTTTTCATAGAAAAGAAATTTATCTTAAGATGAGTATTTTGGATAATGGTGAAGTTGTACTTGAAACTATACGTACAAAAAGTACAAAACGTCGTATAGTTGATGTATTTCGTGTATCACATGATGGTTTACATATAATAACATATACACCAAATAGTCGTCATGGTTCACCAGCAAGTGATCATCCACCACCAATACCACGTGATAAAAATGCTTATCAACAATATCATTTTGATAGATTACCATCGGAATATTGGAAAAAATATCAATATGCTCATAAGTAAATTTTTTCTGAAAACATATTAAATATCATTATTTTGTTTGTTTTAAGATTTGTTACAGTAGTTCGTTCACGTACAGCTAAAATAATACTTTATACACCTGATGCTAAATGTTCATTAATGGAAACAAGTGTAGATTTTGAAGCTGTTTTTTTATGTGGTGTTAAAATAACAATATTTCGAGACAATTCTAAATCTAATGATTCATTAAAAATAAAAATTATAAATAATAATGATAAATCAGTATCATTATTAGAATATGATCGTATTACAGCACCAAATATATCTTCTATTGAACATTTTAGTCCAGAAATACGTCAAATAATTGATAATGCAATTTTGGTAAATATTATTTTGAAAATTTTTTAAAAATTATTATTATTATTATTATTTATTTTTTATAGTGTTATAAATTTTGTCTATCAAAAGATAAAATTTTTGAAGAAAGTCAAAGAAGTTTTTCATCAATTCAAGTTTTTCCTGTTCAATTCGGAAAAAAACATACACAACCAGATTTACATAGACCAAGTAAATATTATTTCTTTTTATTAAACATATTCATAGTAATGAACATTTTTGGATTATTAATTAAAACTATGATAACTTGAATATGCTATGAATTAATGAAGCTTTTCTGATGATGAGATAAAAGTTCAGGAATAGTTTGAGTTATGAATATTTCGCTAATAGGTAAATGCTGAATAGAATAGAATGGTTTTCAAAATCTGAAGTATTACATTTGTTTTTAACAAATCACACAATTATATCTTGTCAATAGGTACTCCTAGTTCTATTGGCCGGGCTGTTTCAAGTAGATTAAGCGGTTCATCATCAACTATCAATGAACCTATTGTCTTACCTTCATCATCATTTGGTACACCTTCGCCAATATTATCTACTCGACCAGAATTTGCCTCTGAAAATGATATTCGAAAATCAAGAAATCCTTCAAATACATTTTCTATATCATCATCAACAAATGCTGGACGTAATAATATTCAACATTCAAATTCTTCATCAGTATTACGTACGTCTGATTATCATCATCAAGTAACTTATATACCTCAATCATCTTTACCAACAACAAATCATTCTCGTTCACAATCAGTACATCCTTCATCATTTTATACACCTGATACATTATCTAGTTCATCGTTTTCTAATCGTCCATCTTCAACAAATATCAATAATAATATGTGTACATCAACAACATCACTTAATTCAATAACAAGTGGTGGACCAACAATGATAACAACACGGCAAGGAATTAATACAAATAAAATTCCATTAACTCGAAAATCGATAACTGAATATTCAAATCGAGCTTTTCGTGTAGTATTTAGTGATGATAGTGTAATGATTATACGTGATGATTCTCCTGATGGACAAATATTTATTGATGCACAAGGTAAATCTTATTCATTTGATCGACGACAACCCCATCAACCAGAAGCAATACAAGAGCGCCTAGCACTCTTCTATCAAAATGAACATGATTTAGTTGATTAGACAACGTCTCAATAACAGTAGTGAAAGAAAATAAAGAATTTTGTTGCTCTTTATAGACAAATTTATAAGTCCTATTTTTTTTTCTGTTTGCTAAAAAGCAAATATGTTATTATTATTATTATTATTATTATTATGTTTTCTTTCTATTCACTTGCCTTTATTATTCGTAATAATAACTGTTTGCTTTTTTTTAAATACGCACCTGCAAATATATGTAAGGAATTTTTATTAAAAATAAAATAATTAATCATAGATACTTAGATTTATCATTTCTATGATAGAATAGAACATACTTTTTTCTTTTCTTTCTTTTTGTTTAATTTCAGTTTGTTTATTTTTTATTATTAGTATTCTTGTCGTTGTTTTTTTTTGTTTCGAGACAAAGAACAGAAAAAAATCCGTCCATTGGTATAATTCTGTTATTGATTTTTTCTTTCTTTTTTTTTTCTCTGGTATAGTTGTATGTTTTATATGAATTTTTTTTAATACAAAGAAAAATAAAAAAGAAAAAATTTTTTGTTTCTTAACAAAAGAATGCTGACTAGAATAATTTGTTTATAGGTTTGTAGTAATAAAATATGATAAAATTTAAGTTTTTTTGTTGAATAAAGTTTTAAGAGGCACTTAATCGACTTGAAGAAACAAAGAAATTTATCCTTATTATACTGATGTAATGATCAAATGAACGACGAACTATTCACTACATAGAGTATTTTTTTCTCATCTCTTTTTAGCGTAGAAAAGTTCTCATTTACATTAAGTGTTAGTACAGTGCGCGGTCAAAAAAGCATGTACATTTTTGTTTTTACTCATGAACGAATAATAAGGGTACTATGAAAATTTTCTCTCATATCAGGCTTTGTAGAGCTTTTTTCGTTGATCATTTTGGTAAAAAAGTTTTTTGATTTTCATTGAGTAATGATGATGTTATAGTCAAAATACTAAACACTGTCAAATAAAGTAGGGAAAAAAAGTTTAGCAGACTTTTAGTATTTGATTAATTTTTACGTCGTTTCACAACATCTGGCAGATGTTCTATATACCATTCGACGCAGAATTTAATGGGCTACATTTTGGTAACAAGCACTTATACTTCTATTATAGTTAATTATTAACCAATTATTAGTTAATTATTAATTAATTATTAGTTAATAATAATCAGGAAATAATCAATAAATTTTTGAGTTGTTTTTAAATTCTGACTCTTTCATATGAAAGAGCATTAAAAACTGAACAAAACTCTATAATTACTATTTGGGAGGCAACGAATTTAGTGAGGTTTTAGTGTGATTTTCAGAGTATGTTCAGTTGTAATTAGATATAGTGCTCATTATTTTTAATAAATTCAACCATGAAACGGCACATGAAATACGTGAAAACTGGCGCATTTTGAAGAGCATCACTTCTTCTTTCAAACGGCATCTAGTAAGAACCCAACAACTCAAAAATTTATTGATTATTTACTGATTATTATTAACTAATAATTAACTAATTATTGGCTAATAATTAACTACAATAGAAGTATAAGTGCTTGTTACCAAAATGTAGCCCATTAAATTCTGCGTCGAATGGTATATAGAACATCTTCCAGATGTTGTGAAATGACGTAAAAATTAATCAAATACTAAAAGTATGCTAAACTTTTTTTCCCTACTTTATTTGACAATGTTTAGTATTTTGACTATAACATCATCATTACTCAATGAAAATCAAAAAATTTTTTTACCAAAATGATCAGCGAAAAAAGTTCTACAAAGTCTGATATGAGAGAAAATTTTCAGAGTACCCTTATTATTCGTTCATGAGTAAAAACAAAAATGTACATGCTTTTTTGGCCGCGCACTGTATCTTTTATTCATATAGTTATTATAAAATATCATAGAAATTATAATTGTTCATTGATCATTCACTATAAATTATGCTTAAGTTTCAATGAATTATTAAGTAAATAAGAGATCAAATTCGTAACTTTCGAAGTTCTGACAAAAATTATCCGTACATTTTCTTTTTTAATCATAAATAGCCAGAATATAAACTTTTCAATACTCTGAAGGCATCAAAAACAATTCTACATCATCTCGTTTCTCCATTATAAAACTCAAACTTTTTGATCGAGTTTATGTTGGATAAAATGTCAATTATTTGAAAATATTATTTTTTCATCTGATGCGGAGGCATAACATTCATGTAGTCAATCGTAAATGTGTTCATTCTCCATACTTTGTGTGTATTTTGCTTCAACAAAACTTAGACTTTGTGAGACACATGTCCCGAAATGGTACCAACGTTTTTGAATTTTTCAATATGACTTTTCGTTCATCTTGAATAAGTTCTGCAAAGCGGTGATTTTGACAATTTGACCTTTATCTTTTACAAGAAAAAATTCAAAGTGTTTCGTTGATCTCCAATTGACTAAACCGCTAGTCGAAACTCTATTGACGAAGTTCAAGATCGCTTTGCACCATATTTATGTAGTCCTTTGTTAGTTTGCTTGTCTTTTTTTTACTTATTGGATACACGTATTCAAATTTATCGTGATTTTTTTGTGACGATCTTGAGAATGAAGAGTCGGAAAAAAACTCAGTCATTCACGCAACGAAGATGAAAATTGTTTTAACCGCTATGATATGTAGAGAATCCTTTTCCGTACGAAACTCTTATATTTGAAAATCAAAATTGATTATATCGTGTAAGTTCTTTACTTTTGTTACGCTATGAACAGCAAGATTAGCCAGCTTACTGTAATCCTATCAACACAGTGCAGATGAATCTAACCAAACGAGAATTTATCAAACCAAACTTAGCATAGAACGTTGTTCTAAATTTCATCTTCTATCTACAAAGACGTAACCTATAATTTCTTCATTTGAGAAACATGTAAATAGTAAAACTGCTAGCCAAACACTTCAGATTCAAGTTTGGCATACATCCGAAATTATATTCATTTTTTACCACCGATTATGATTTTGTTTCATTGATTTACAGATTTCTATAGTGATCGTAATGATTTACCTTCAGTTTCAATCTGATGATCTCAAGTTATGAAAATATAAATAACTTTTCAAAAACTCTTATTCTAACGATAATAAAAATTTCATAAATTGTCTCACACATCGAATTGATTTGAAGAAATTTAACTGATGACAATCATTAATATTTTTGGATTAAAATGAATCAATTGTATTGATATTACATGGAAACATCTTTTTTTTTTACAAAAACAAAACATATTATCTATACAATATATAACAAAGAAACATGAATAATGATAAATATCAACTTGAATCATCCATATTATTAATATTATGTATTTGTGCAAGAAGTGAATAAAAATTCGACGGTAATGATTGTCGTATTTTTGGATTTTTCTCATCATCGGATGACATTAATGAAGATTTACGTTTTTCTCCTCGATTTGTATTATTATCAGATTGTGATAAAGTTTTTTCTATTTGAGAATTATTAGTCATAAGTAATTGTTGAAGAACTGAATGAAATGGTGATGAATTTGTTTTTGTTGATATAACATTTGTAAGTAATTGAATTAATTGAAGTTGATATGCTCGATCTTCTTGTCGACGTTGTAATTCAAGATTAGCTTGTTGTTCAAGATATTTATACCAACGAGTCTAGAACAAAAGCAAAGACAAAAAATAATCTATATAAATTTCAAAAACCAAAAACAAAAAAAAAATTATTCTATACTTCATTTTGTTTTTGATATTGAATTAATCGATCAATAGCTTGAATTAATTTATCTTTAGTTGAATTTTCTAATTGTATAGAATTTACATTTTCTTGTTGAAGATTTTTTATTTCATCATCAATATCATCATCGATTTCTTCTTCTTCTTCTTCTTCTTCTTCATCATCATCTTTAACATTATCAGTTAATACAGATTGAGAATTTGACAATAATGAAGATCCATTGAGATCTTCTATACCAGAAAAAATTCGATGCATTTCATTATAAAATGGACATGGACGTTGTTGAAAAACATCACCACGTTTAATAGCTTCATTTGTTTGTCGATACATTTTTTTTAATAATTTTATACGCATTTGACATTCTAGAATATTATTTTCATTTAACGAAAAGAAAAAACATAATATTTTAACTTACGATCAGCTGTACGAGTTATTCCAATAGCCTGTAGTTGATTTGCAATATCTTCATAGATACAACGATTTCGACTATTTAAACGTAATGCTGTTTGAGTTGTTGAATCAGCCCAAAGACGAATTAATGCTTCAGTTTCATTAAAACTCCAGCTAATTCCTCGTGGCATTCTCTTATTGCTTTCTTAGTTATACGCTTTTTTTTTTCAAATTGATTCTTACGTCTGAATATAATACGTTCTAAATAAACGGAAAAGGTCAAAAAAGGACAATGTTGCTCATTCTAGACTAGAAAAAATTCATGTTCATATACAGAATGAACAAAATTTCGATGAACTATTGCTGTTTGTCATTGAATTTCATAAACATATGTTCATTTTGTTTTTCGTTTCTATCGTCGAACGAATTTAATGACATAACATAGCAAAAGCAATAGAACGAATTATTTTGTTTTATTCCATCTTTATTGGCATTGCTTAGCTTAAAAAAAAATACAAAATCGACTTTACTAGTTTATTATATCGTTTTCATTTATTTTTTTACAATGTATTGAATATAAAATAGATTTAGAAAAAAACAAAGAAACAAGAAAAATCAAAAAATAACTGTTCATCATTACAAGTTTAGTGTCTCTTTCTTCTCGCATAAGTTCAGCAACAATTATTTTCATTGGTTGTATACATAAAACATGTTCTAATGGAAAAATAAAGGTATCATTAATAAATATGTTTTTAAGGATAACATGAGTAGTAAGTCTTGAAGACTTATTATTTGTTCTTTGGATAACTTTTATATAGGAATCAAGTTTTAATATGAACATTCATTGCACAACTAAACATCGATATTTTCCAATACTTGCAATGAAAACGAAATAGAACAAA